GGATTGAACTCAGGGGTACTCACTCTCTGGCTGAACTACATCTCCAGCCCCTTTTTAAAATTTTACTTTCAAATTTTTGAGACAGGGTCTCAATAAGTGGCTCAGGCTATCCTCAAACTTGTAATCCTCTTGCCTCAGCCTCCCCAGAAGCTGAGTGCAGGCGTGTACCACCATGCCACATTCTATATTTATAGGAGTTGTGTTCACTTTTTGAAAGTGGAAATATCCAGGTGGACTCCCTCTGTGGACTCCATAAAACTGCACTGCCCACAGAGCAGACTGCATGGGGTAGATGCCTAAGGCCTGTTTCTTTGGCCCCTGGTATAAATTACAAATGGCAGCAGAGCTTCTCTTTCATGACCCACTCACTCACTATTCCTTGCAGTTTTCCTGACTCCATGATCTTGCTATTGTTTCTGATTTTTGGCCACATTTAGTAGGAATTTTGTTTCAGACATCACTACTACTAGTTGTCTGCCCTGGTGATGGCAATAGCTAGTAATCTGGTTTTGGGTCTGCTCCCTAGGTGACCTGTCAGCTAGAAGGGAAATCTAGCCGTGGTGAGCTGGAGATGACAGGGCTTCTGTGTGCTGCTTTTCTTGTCTGTAACTTGCCTGTTTTTCTATCTGTATGTTCTAATCAGGAAAATATTTTTTGCCCAATGGAAAAGCAACCAGACTTTGGAGACCTAGAGGAGTGAAATTTTGTGTTTTAGTGATTACTTCTGTCCTGTAATTGAAACTATAGAATTTATGCTGTTCTTTTTTTGGTGGGGGGGTACTGGGGATTGAACTCCGGTCCTTGAGCTTGCAAGGCAGGCCACCGAACTGCTGAGCTAAATCCCGGGCCCTATGCTGTTCTTAATCTAAGAAAAAAAATCACTGTGTGTGTGGGGGAAATGCATATTTTCCTACTTCCTGGGGATAATAATAAATTAAAATACAGGAGGCTCTGCTACTCAAATTGGTTTATAGGAATTAACAAGCATTTAAATAAATCCAACATTCCCCAAATTTCAAGAAAATATAGTAAAATTCTAATACTTTAAGTGGTCTCCCCATTTAAGAAAAAGATCTTTCTTATCAAAACTGCTCACTCACAAGCATTTTCTTTCATTAGAAAACAAGTTATCACAAAGTGAGTCCTTATACAAATCACAGACTTGGTAATTTGGTTCAAAAAAAGCTACACATCTTTTTTTCAATATATAATTAATACAAGAGTAATTCCATTTTTTATATAGGATTTAGATTTGTTTTTATCATGAAGGGGATAGTTTATATGAACTCCTTAAATGTTTTAGTTTACTGAAAATATAAACTAACATTATTTCCATAAAATTAAGAAAAATAGCTGGGCATGGTAGCACACATTTTTTTTTTTTTTGGTACCAGGTCCTTGAGCCTACAAGGTAGGCAGTGGAACCACTGAGCAAAATCCCCAGTGCACACACTTTTAATCCCAGCACCAGGGAAATTTAGGCAGAAGGACTGTTCAAGTCGAAGCCAGCCTGGGCTACACAGTGAGTTCAAGGCCAGCCTGAACTATAGTGAAATCCTGTCTCAAAAGAAAAAAGAAAGAATGATTAAGAAATATATAAAACTGGTGCTCATCTAAGCTTAATTATAATTGTAATAAAAGCTGTTTAAAAATTTTATTATTTAGAAAAATTGACAAAAGTATGTATATTTATGATATATATAGCATGATGTTTTAAAATATACACAGTCAGATTGCTAAATTGAGCTAATTAACACATGTATTACCTCACATCTTTATTATTTTTGTGCCAAACTTTGTTTTACATAAATAGTAATTATATTTTGTGATGTATCAGCTTGGAAAAACAATTGCTAATATCCCTGTGAATTTAAAACAAAAAATCCTTCATGTGTGAATGATTTAAGATATTTTGTTTACTAAAAATTATCACTTTGATTATTAAGTAGACAGACTGCAAACACTCACTGATCTGAGGCACCCACCATCCTAAATTATTCAAGTAAAGAAATCTCTTCCAATTAATAATTTTTGCCTTTCCAAGATCAGATAAACCTTAAATTTAAATATTTTTCCAAGATATCTAACATCCCAACTCCTTGTTTTCCTTAAAAATGTGTCTTTAACTTTACAAAAAAAACCCACTAGAAATAAATACGTTTGTTTGTTATGCTTTTTGATCAAGAATGATCATACATGGTATATGCATATATGAAAATGCCCCATCAAAATCATTAATGTGTTAATTTTAAAGAGGAGAATCGCACAGGGACATTTCTGAAGTGAAATGAGCATGTTCAGCCTTCCCTACAATAACTTTGTAGTGGTAAAATATAAATAATCAAAATTATGTGCATGCAGTACTTTATAGAAAGCCCCTAACTGGACACCAGTGTCCTCATTGTAATATGCTCTTACCCTCAAAGAAAATAGGATTAAATAAAAGCAATCTGATAAAGGGTCTTAGCTTTCCTTCATGACACTGTCAAGTAAACTGCAAATTAACCACAGCCACTCACTCTTACACTCACCAGGTGCTGTCTGAGTTCCTCTGCTGCTTGCTTAAAGACTCTGCCTAAGCTATGGAATTAGATGTGATTTCAACAAGGAAAGTTCTGGAATATCATGGATATAACCTTAACAGGTACCCTTAACTCCTGATATTTCAGACAACAGACTTATGGATAGAAGCTTCTAAGATGACCTGGGCAAGAAAAAATGAGATGGTACTAGGAAGCTAAACCAATGTTTTAAGACTTTTTAGTTCAGAAATAAATATCTTCATGAAACCAAGTTTATGGTCCAAGATGCAGAGAAATAACAATTACACAGAATTGTTTGCACTGATAAAAGAAATCAAATTTCTAATATGGATATGTTTTGGAGTATTATTTGTATAATTTTGAATGTTTTTTTTCTTTGATGGGGATACCTTATAAGGTGCATTGACCTATCTCTAACCTTCCAATTATCTGATTCTGATTTGCAAACTCAATAAAATATTTGTTTTAATAGTACCTGGTTCTCACTGATGCTTCAAAACTCAGTTTTTTAATCACTTTATTTTTTAAAGGCATTATCATTATTTACATATCATATTTGCCAGTAAGAATCTGTCCTCCCTTTTTCAAATACACAATGCAACCCAGGCCAAATCTAGAGTGTCTTATTTAAAAGCAAGCCTCATTCAGCAGGTATGTCAAGCACACTACTAAGGGTAAGAGATTATAACTTAATATTTGAAACAATATCCACAAAGGTTCCCCAAGCAGTTGAACCTGTTTATGACTTACTGGGTTGTGACCTTCTAGGCACTAAGAAAGATCATTTACTGGATTGCCAAAACCTTAGCTGATTTAGACAATCTAGAGGACAGAGAAATTAAAAACAATTTTTTGATGTTAAACACAAAACGCAGTGCAGGTAAATTTCTGGAGTTTGATTTACTATCCTTAAGATAGATGAATAAACGAGACAAGGAGGATTTCTAGAGTGATGGAATTCAACAAAAATGCTCTCCTAGGTTCCATAATATATTATCAAATAGAGTTAATTGTCTAGCTTTATTAATAATAGTGCCTCAACACAGTATAGCACTGTTTGCTGTCCATTTACAGGAAGATGTTTTTGTACACTAATTAAAACTTCTGAATTTATATCAATGAGTCAATCCAAGCAAAAGGCACCTTTTTGTGACTATAAATAACCCCTGGGGATTACTTTATGATAACAAAGGGGACTCGTACTGCTGCACTGTGTAACTGAACTACGCAAAGAATAACTAATTCTCTAGTGGTATACACACTTGTTTTCTTTCACCATTGTTAGGATATGCAGACTCTTCACAAAGATAGACATTAACTTACCAAGAATTTTGAGTGATATAAATGAATCTTGCCATAAAATGTCAAACAAATTTTGTTCAGTGTACATGTAAATGGTTTATGTCCACTGTGATCCAAAAGTTACAATTTTATTGTGTTGGGAGGCACTAACTCATTTTGGATATGATTAAAAAATCTAAGTGCTACAAACTTTCTTTAACCAAACTACTTCTAATAATCCTATACTTTCATAATCCAACTTTACCATCCTGAGCTTCTCTCATTAAGGAAATCATTAATCATTAATGAACTAAAATAACCTCTGGCATATATTCATTCTAAAAGGAAAACCTATGCTTAATAGAGAACAGGAAAACACATAGCTCACTCTCGGTCATTAGTGGAACTCTCAAAGACCGTTTCCTATTATCTTATTTTCAGTATTACCCATTTCAAGCATCAATTCACTTGAAATGAAAAAAGGTAAGTTTTGTGAGTAGGTGTAGTTCGGAGGTCCACAGTAAGTTCCTGATATACAAATGAGTTCTGTTTCAGAGAATGCTCTTAAGTTGGATTTGTTCCTAAATCCAACAAACTGAGTCTTATACACCTTTGACACCAATATAGAATGCATGCCAAGAAATAAGCCAGAGAGAGTTTGAGGTGCATGTAAAAAGTGTGAAGAAAAACTGAGCATCCCGAGGCACCATTGAAGGGATGCTTCAACTTTCTAGACAACTGCTGTATAGACAAGTTCACTGCCTAATTCCCAATGAGTCACGATTTCACTGACTACTGTTACAATCATATACCTGCGAATGTAATGATATAATAATGCAAATCCGTATTTCCCTATCATCTCAAAAGAAAAGCTTGTAAGATGTCAAGATATTCAGTAAAAGCCCCAACTACTTGTTAGCTTTTTCAAGAATTTATAGTTGTGAGAGCTCTGCAGAGCAACTGAAGGGACATCAGGCTCCCGGAGGCCTTCAAATTGCTCACACATGCCCACCAATACTGACCAGGGAAGAGGCAGGATAGCAGAAGACATCCTAGAAGGAAGAGCATCAGCTGGTGCACAGGGAAACTGCACCTCCACATACACCCTGGGCGTCTGTCTCCAAAGCTGCTGGCAGACGCCACTCAATGAAGCAGTGAGGTCAAGAGAAAACTTACCAATCGCTCCATCTCCTGCTCCCTAAGTCTTTCCTCTCTCTGCCGCCGGTGATAATCCATCAGGTCATCCCGTCCTGTAATGGAGCTAATGCTGCTTTTCCGTTCCCGAAGGACAGGCTGGGGGGTTCCTGAGGCCTGTCTGAGGCTGTCCAAATCAGCATCATCAAACTCCACAGAGCCACACGAGAAGTTCCTCCTGGCTGCAAACACTCTGTCTGGTTCTCCAGCAGAAAATGGGTGACTTGTCCCTGAATAGGAAGCCCTATCAAAGTCATCAGAGGCACAGGAGGAGGTGGAGGCCAGAAGCATCTTCCGAGCCACTCGAGGACTGGCAGGAACACTGAGGGTGGAACTCACATAAGGACCACCCTCCGATGCAGAGGTTTTATAGGGTAAAGCCCCTGAGCTTAGAGAGGAAAAATTAAGGTAATTGTCATTGTCTATGACGCTATGAGGTAGATCCTTTTCCCCCAGCCTGGTTCTTTTGGAGTTGCCCAGAGAGTTTCTTGGAGGCAAGCTGAGAGGTGTCAGCTGGTTCTCTGTGGCTTTGTACAGCCTGGGAAGCGATCGGCTATAGGCTCCCATGTGACTCAGGCTGCCGGCTGAATACTTCCTAGTTCTTAAACTGATGCTTTCAGATACGGGGTCCTTGTGTCTGGTTACCTTGGGTTGCAGAGTCAGGTTGTCCTGGATGCTCATTTTCCTGGCCTGCTTTGGGCTTGAAGGCATGCTTGCTGCCCCCGATCTGCTGATGGGAGAGTGGCTAGAGTCACTAAGGGTATTTCCATTCCACATGGTCAGGAGTGAACCAGATACCTTTCTTCCTTCTAATCCTCCAAGAAAGTAGACACTGTCATGTGATTTATTTCTTGAGTTGTATTTGGAATAAGGAAGCTTCTCTGAGAGTCTCAAGGACCTTTCACTGTCCCGACCACTATAATGATCAAAATCTGCTCTCGCGAGTGGGTATCCACCAAGAGAGTGTGCAGTGTTGAGTGAAGGAGTGGGGGGTTTTGTGGAAATATTTTTGTCATTTCCATCACAGGAGAACTGCTTGCTTCCATGGATTTTGGTTAAAGAGGGGCTGCTTCTGACACTGGTGCCCAAAGGGGAAGGGCTTCTTTTAGCAGGCACAGGTTGTGAAAGGGTTAAATAGGAGCCAGAATAGTCTCCATTGGCTTTAAATTTCAGACTGGAAGAGTACTTCTTTGAATTTAGGCTCTCCATCATGTCTGGGGGATGGTTCTCCAGGGAATTCACCACAAAGCCTTCCTCTAAGCTACCATTTTGTATATCCAGCTGTTTTTGCATGTGCCTACACTCTGCCATAATCTTGAAGAAATCTGTAAAGAAAAAAAAAGTTTTACTTAGCAGAAAAGATTGAAAAAAAAAACAAACAAACAAACATTTGTGGTCTACTTCCAAACAAATAGGCTTGCAATCTGACCTACTTCAACTGACAAACACAAAATGTTTTCCTAATAAAATTATACTGGAGACTGAGGAATAAGGAACACTGGCCAGGGATAATTTTTGTACAAAAGCAAAATAACTCAAGATGACAACAATGATACGTTAGGGAAAGAAACCTCTAACAAGTAATAGTATAAGATTAGACTGGTGCATTAAAAAAAGTAAAAAGGAAAAAATAATTTTCCTTCACTGTTCTCATCCTTAGAGAACCAGGTGGTGCTTCCTGAGTATCTACATAGCAAATGTCTAAAAGGTTTCCTCTAGATATCTCTGCTAGAATCACTAACTGCTCAGAAATAGTCCTAAGGATATAAATTCACATTTTGTCAGAGAAAGACAATGATCAAGAATATGAGGGTTACGAAATGTGTTAAAAGGGAGCTGTGGAGGTTACATTCTTCATAAAATTTCAAACTCTTGTGCTCATCAGAAAGAGGCAGGTAATAATTGAGGACTGTTGTTTATTAACAATTTGTCCCTCCAAATCTTTGCCACATGGTCAGGAAAGCATATTTAAAAATTTGAAAGTGCTTTGTTCTTCAAATTCTTAAGTACCCCAATCTACTCACTGATACTGTACCAAATCCACTTTTCTAACTGAAACCCAAAACCTCTGCTTGGATGGATACAAGAAAAAAATATATGGATATAATAAATGTATATAAATAAATATTATATATATATATATATATATATTTAGTATACCTAAAAAGAAAAGGTTTTTCCATTAGATTTGCCTCCCAGCTAGGATCAAGCCCTGCCGTCTGGTTCTTGCCAAGTCTTTGTTCCTCAGAACCAGTGTCCTTTCTGCCTTTAAGATAATATCTTTCCGTATCGGTTTATTAATTCTAGTTCTGAACTTGAAAGCAACACCAGCCTACTTTGAGACATATCTCAACACGCTCCATGGAGCACGAAAATAAAAACAGCTCCCAATCTGCATCCTTTCTCTTCTGAACTACATCTCTAGTTGGTTTATCACACTGAAATCCCTGCAAGCATTAGCCAGTTCTCCCAAGGTAAATATTTTAGGATTGAGGAAGCAAGGAAATAGATCCCAAGGACATTATAGTGTTACTTATTATCATGGAATAAACCCCTTAAATGCCAAAGTAGGGGAAAAAAATGAATAGCTTACAGCATATGATGAGCAAATATTACATAATTATATGTAGTTATGAAGTATAAAATATATTATAAATATATGTATATAATGTACATCTTTAAAACATATATTTATTTAATATGCAAATATTGTAGACCAATATTTTTTCACTCTGCTGATTCTGAGAAGAATGTTTTTTTGTTTGTTTATTGGTTTTGTTTTGTTTTGTTTTTGAGACAGGGTCTCACTATGTAGTTGAGACTGAAATGGAACCTGCTATGCAGCCCGGGCTGGTCTCAAACTCACAGCAATCCTCCTGCCTCAGCCTCTCAAGTGCTGGGATTACAGGCGTGCACATCACGCCTGGCTTGAGAAGAATGTTAATTACACAAATGTATCCATTCTACACCTCAGGCACATGAAAACTAAACAAATCGTACATAACACCTTTCCCAATACGAATAAAGCTAACAGAATGGTTACCCCAAAGTCTCCAGATGTTTATTGAACTTAGCTTACACAATATCTTCCTTTTTTTAAAAAATGTAGTTATTTTATTTAAAGTGCTTCTGCTTATTGCATAGAAAATCAAAATCTCAAGATATAGTTTTGGATATTTTAATTGTTCAGTAAGTGTTACGAACCATGTCGCAAGCACCCACTTAGCAGGCATTAGTGTTAGTCACTAATATTCCAGGTCTTCTTCTTTCAGGAACATAGGTGGTGGCTTTTCCTCATCCCCATGATGACACATATGCCTGTGTCACTTGTTTTGATCAGAGAAATGTCAGTGAAAGTGATTTGTCAATTTCTTGCTGAAGCATTAACAGGCATGACTCACCGTTCCTTCTCTCCTTGCTAAGATGAGGAGCCTCCATCAAAGAGCATGGAGCTTTGTCGGCCTCTCCCCCAGAATAGGACCCTGCCAACCCAAGACTGTCCTCAGCTACTGAGATCTGGGGTTGTAGTTTCTATGAAGTCGCTAATCTTCACTGTGCGTCTACCAAGCTCTGAGCTAGGCACTGGGACGTAGCGGGTACAAGGTATTATTTCCTACCTTTTCAGTTCATAGTCCAAAGAGAAAGACACCCATAGGAGTAAATGCTCTCTGCACATGTCTTAACAGAGGACTGATGGACTCGTAAAGGAACATGGCTAATAACAGTGAAAGCAGCAGCTTCCAGGAGGTAGCTGTAGAAAGAAATGACAGTGAAGCCAAATACCAGTGAAGGAAACAGAATCTCACCAAGGAAAGAAAAGATACTCACCAATTTTAGCATAAAGTCAATTCCACATCTAAGAACATAAACAAAACTCCAAGCCCACTTGGTATCAAGCCACTAGTACATTCAAACATCTCATCTCTGACAGAATTAAATACAAAAGTTAAGTAGGAAAAAAACAAGTTATTTTCTTTTCCATGGATCTTAAAGATGTAAGTATTAACTCTTCTTGGATGGACTGAATTTAAAAATCGGCATTTCACTCTCATATTATCCTTTTTCCATCTCCACTGCTAGATAAAATTTCCTAGGTCCAACCCATATCCAACTCTGAGTGGTTTACGTTGCACAGTCACCCATCTAGCTTTCAGAATATTTTGGGAAATGCTAAAAATAAATAAATAAATGAGATGTTAGAATAGACAAGAAAATAATGCCGGTTAGTAGAAAAGATTATGGTTTGGAGACGCCTTCCTGGCAAGCACAAGGTCCTGAGTTTGATCCCTGGTACTGGAAAATAAAAATTGGAAGAACTCGGTGAACTAGAAAATATATTCCCAAAAGTGCAGACACAACAGTCCGGGGAGCAGGTCTGACCAGGTGCTTTTACATTTTAGTCAAAAATCTAAGCTAGCCCAGCATGGTGGCGCATGCCTATAATCCCAGCACTCGGGAGGCTGAGGCAGAAGGAATGCTGTGAGTTCGAGACCAGGCTGGGCTACACAGTGAGTTCCAGGTCAGTCTCAACTACATAGTGAGACCCTGTCTCAAAACAAAACAAAACAAAAAAAACATCTAAGCAATGCCCAAACCCTGTGCTGCAAATATTTACTCCACCAGTACAGTACTGAAGGGTTTAATACCTGGTGTCAAAATGGATACTTAAGGATGGGGGATTTGGCTCAGTGGTGTTGCCACCTGCAGCACAAGCGCAAGGTCCCAAGTTCGATCCCCAGTACCAAAAAAATAAAACAAATAAATAAATAAAATGGATACTTAAAAATTCACTTTTGATGCAGCAGCTTATAATATTGTCATTTTAGCTACAATACATTAAAATATTTGAACTTATTCGCAGTTACAAATGCTACTTAATTACCCAAATGAAATACTACCAAGCTCTGTCCCCTCTTCATTTGGGCTAATAAAATTACAGAATATTAAGCTACTATAGAATCCCTACTATCTGCCCTCCTCACACATTAAACAAGCACACAAATAAATTCCAATTTTAAAAAGTATGATTTCTGAAGCAGATTCGCCAAACAAAATGCAATACCAGCACAGTCCACAGTAGTACAGGCTGAAAGAAGATGGGATGTACAGTCTCCAGGGAAGAAACAAGCAGAACACTTACAAATATTAAACTGTGAGAAACAGCCAAGCAACATTTTCCAACCATGTATACTCATGGAGGAAAGTGATCAATGATTTGGATGGAAAGACATACCAGAGATTTAAAGGGATATTCATGCTTGATACTTGTTTTTCTGGTTCAAGTTTATTGGGCCCATTAAGCACAGTCAAAAGGTTGTACATTTAAAGCTTTATCACCAAGTACAGACACAATGTATTAATTTTCCTGAAGCTCAGTTTACCTGCCTTAGTTGAATGTATATGTATATTTAATCTTGACGTGAAGTCTTTTAATCCTTCAAATCAATTCAACCCCAAATGTAGAGAATCAGACCCATAGGTGGCTGTCCTGACCCTCTCAATGATATCAGATGCTGCTGCTATCTTTCCCTTTTCCTGCTTCTTTTCATTTGAGCTATGATGGAATGAGTAGAGGCCTAAAAATGGAAAATATGTAGGGAATGTCGATTAGCAACCAGCAATGTACTTTGAGAATTACAGTGCGGACAAGGGGAGGAGAAGCCGAAGGGTGAAGAACACTGTGGAAAAGCTGGAATTTCATTCCTCAGGCAATAAAGAGGGGACAAATAAGGCTGCAGGCAGAATGCATCAGAGACTGCCTTTGAGTTCAGAAGAAAGAATAGCACAATGGGGAGAGCAAAAGTCTGCAAAGAGGCCTTGCCAGGGTGACAGACAGCAGAGAAAGGAGGAAGGTGGAGAGCAGAAGTCCCCATTAACACATACAAGAGAGGAGAAGAAGACAGCCTATCTTCGAGATGTACAATGCTGTGTTTACTTTGGATTTCCTGTACATTTTATACAAACAAAGAAGAGGCCTAAGTGAAACTATAAGCTCCTTGAATTATGTTATTGTGGAAGCAAAATAATCCCAAGAGATTTAATGGTGACACACATTATTATACACACAACTACAGAATGGCCTGGGAAAATGGAAGAACGCATCTGGTGCCCATCTGAGAGAAAAGACAACACTGGGAAGTCTAAACAGCAAAGAAGTGAAAGCATGTTAAAACATTTGTGTTTACTTTCCAATCCATAAATTTAATTCCTCCGGTGTTCTTGTTATTTTATCACCCAAATGTACATCATTTCTTGTCAATTCGAAAACTCCAGGAGTCATGAACACGAAAAACATTTCCCCTGGAGAAGAAGATTTTCTTTTCTT